CCATTTCTTAGTTGCTTGGTACCTTGCCAATGTTTTTGGACTGCATCCTTAGAAACTTGTATTCAAGATGCTACAGTTCGTTGGATGTGTCCATTTCTTAGTTGCTTGGTATCTTTCCAACGTTCTTTGAGCTGCACCCATAGAAACTTGTATTTAAGATGCTACAATTCGTTGGAGGTGTCCATTTCTTAGTTGTTTAGTACCTTGCCAAAGTTGTTTGAGCTGCACCCTTAGGAACTTGTATTCAAAATACTACAGTTTGTTGGATGTGTCCACCTGTGAGTTGCTTGATATCTTTTCAAAGTTCTTTGGACTGCATCCTTAGAAACTTGTAGTCAAGATGCTACAGTTCGTTGGATGTGTCCATTTTTTAGTTGCTTGATATTTTTCCAAAGTTCTTTGGACTGCATCCTTAGAAACTTGTATTGAAGATGCTACAGTTCGATGGATGTGTCCATCTCTTAGTCGCTTGATATATTTCCAAAGTTCTGTGGACTGCATCCTTAGAAACTTGTATTGAAGATGCTACAGTTCGTTCGATATGTCCACCTGTGAGTTGCTTGGTATCTTGCCAAAGTTCTTTGGACTGAATCCTTAGAAACTTATATTCAAGATGCTACAGTTCGTTGGATGTATAAATCTCTTAGTTGCTTGGTACCTTTCCAAAGTTATTTGGACTGCATCTTTAGAAACTTGTATTCAAGATCCTACAGTTCGTTGGATGTGTCCACCTGTGACTTGTTTGATATCTTTCCAAAGTTAATTGGACTGCATCATTAGAAACTTGTATTCAATATGTTACAGTTCTTTGGATGTGTCCATTTCTTAGTTGCTTGGTATCTTTTCATAGTTCTTTGAACTGCATCCTTAGAAACTTGTATTCAAGATGCTACAGTTCGTTGGATGTGTCCATCTCTTAATTGCTTGATATCTTTCTAAAGTTCTTTGAGCTGCATCCTTAGAAACTTGTATTTAAGATGCTACAGTTCATCGGATGTGTCCATCTCTTAGTTGCTTGGTATGTTTACAAAGTTCTTAGAGAAGCACTCTTAGAAACTTGTATTCAAGATGTTACAATTCGTTGGATGTGTCCATCTGTTAATTGCTTGATATCTTTCCAAAGTACTTTGAGCTGCATCATTAGAAACTTGTATTCAATATGTTACAATTCCTTGGATGTGTCCATCTTTTAGTTGCTTGGTATCTTTTCATAGTTCTTTGAGTTCTTTTAGTTGCTTGGTATCTTTTCATAGTTCTTTGAGCTGCATCCTTAGAAACTTGTATTCAAGATGCTACAGTTCGTTGGATGTGTCCGTCTTTTAGTTGCTTGGTATCTTTTCATAGTTCTTTGAGTTCTTTTAGTTGCTTGGTATCTTTTCATAGTTCTTTGAGCTGCATC